AGGGCATTTGCTCTATGTTGCTGTACCTGTAGTTGCTGCTTTTGAAATGTGAGTGATGCAAACAAGTGCTGTGTGTAGCTGATTCATTTGAGATCAGATGCAGGTGAGGTTCAGTAGATGCACTGTGAGAATTTGGGAGTATGAAGAAACAGTGGAAGTTCATTATCCCTCCTCTGCAGAGGTGAGGTGCTGGGAACCTGGGAAGCTGGCACTGTCCCAGTCAGCTCATGTCCAGTGCTGCCTTTGCATCACAGGCCTTTGGGAAAGAACGTCTGGCTCTCCAATATTCCAGGGGCAACACTCTAAATACAAGTCCTTGGGGTCTGTTACAACTGGGCTCAAAGAGCTGCACAATATCTCACAGAGAAATGAACAAAACTGGCTTTTGTTAAGGTTTGTAAGCCAGCTCCCCAGCTTGGTGTGCATTCATGGTCATGGTAACCAAGTTCAAATCAGCACTACCCGTGGCTGTAAATGTAGTAACTGTGCTGCGCCTTTTTCAGGTTTCTCCTGGGAAGCATCTGCTCTGTCAGGAAATGCCTCTGTCATGGACTGTGGGCAGCTTGTTCCTCTTAAAAGAGGGGATTTTGAGGTATATGTGTATTAGTGGCAGGATAATATTTAATGTATGGCGTGTGAGGCTTCAAAAAGGCAAACTGGACAAATTCAGTAGCTGTTGTTTTGCTGGGCTAGAAAAGTTGGAGGTTGGTGGTTTTTAAACTGGAGTTATTATTTGGAATGAAGAGGCTAGAGGGTGCTCTTGCCCACGGCTGCACTGGCACATCCAGGATGGAGGGGGAGGAAAGCAGGGATCAGCAGCCGGGAACAGCAGTGTCCCTCTTGGGGCTGCACCCAGAGCCCTCGGAGCTGAGCAGAGAGTTGGGAATGGCTGAGCTGAGCAAAGCCTGGCTGTGCTGGGGCCAGTGTGGGTTGTTTTTGTTGCTTTTGGTGTAGAGAGAGTTAAACTAGTTCAGGGAGGCCTGGGAAGTGATGTTCTGCAAAAGAGAGAAACTCAGACGATGGTTTAACTGTGTCATTGCCCTCCAACTGCTTCCACCAAGTCCTTCAGCGCTGCAGTTTTTCTCCACAACTGCCTGAAGTTCACCAGGATAAGCTTTAATTGAGGTTAAAAGGAAAGTAAAAAGCTTATAAAAATTAGTATGTTAAGGATTGAATTAATTTTAGCTCTTCACGGTGCCTTGTGAGAATTTGATAGGACTTCATAGAATAAAATTCCAAACTAAATAGGGACAGGACAGTGGATCTATCAGGAGGTGGAAAACCAGGAGAGGCTATCCCAGCAGAAAGAAGCAGTTTGGGTTGTTCTAAGCATAGCTGGGAACAGCTCTGCTCTGCTGCCTTCATCTCTATTTATGATCTGTCCTCCAATAATACATTTTCTAAGCAGCGAGGGTTTCGTTTTGGGAATCAGTCCCGTATGGAATGCTGGTGGTTTATTTATAAAAACACATCTAGCACTTGCCAAGCTCAACAGGGACTTCATGGAGAAAAGAGGGATGCCAATGCAGAAGAGGCATGTGATCGTTACAGAGCTGAAATGCCACAATAATAGCTAAACAATCTCACAGGCAGCCAAATAGTTTCCATGCCGGCTCTCTGCAGCCAAACCCACCTCACCCTGAGAAGAAATGCAACTTTTAAGTTGCTCAAATACCACAGTCCTAAAGAGAGATGTGGGAGCAGTGACTGAAGCCAGTAATTCAAATCTTTGGGAGTTTGAGGGCAGGATTCCATCTGTGCTGCTTTGCCTAATCTAGAAGTGATAATTCCCATTCCCAGGGTAACCAAGAGCTCATGTGGTGCCGTCCCAGTAGATGATGTTGCTAATGCTGCTGTAGCAATTGCCTGTAAAGCTGTTGTAATAAAACACAGCTGTCAGAACGCACCCCAAGCTGCTCAGAAGTCCACTTTTCATACCAAGGTTTGCTGGAACTTGGGTCCCACCCTGATCCTTGAAAGAGGTGCATGGTTTTGGCTGTCCTCTGAGCAGATAACTGGTGAGATTCAAACAAATCCAGCAAATTGATGTGTTTGTAGGAGGGCTCATCAGCTGGATGCAGCCTCTTAACCTCGCTGACTTCCAGGAACTCTGCACACAAAGCGTAAAGCCAAGGGAAGTCTGCACAGACTTTGCATTTTCTCTGTAACACCCTTCTGGTAAGTGGCTGTTCCTGGCTCTGCTGGGGACAGGATACTGGGTGAGACAGACTTTCTAACACACTGAGGACACAGGAAAGTCCTTTGACCTGTGAGAACTTACTGTGCACGAATTAAGTACCTGAGAAAACAGTGTCTGAGCAGAAAAGCGTTACCCTTGTGACAGCCAAAGCTTGGGGAACGTAAGCTACTTGTGCCTCGCTAAAGAATTTGACTCTTGCAGGCTGGGGCTGTGAGGGAAAGCTGCGACTGTGCCCCTCTGATCTGATCCAAAGTGGTCCTGGGTCTGGCCACCTTCCAGCAGCAGGATGAGTATTTTGGACATTGCCTGACACAGCACCCAGTGAGCCGTCCTGGAGCAGCAAGTGCCTGTAGAATTGGCTGTTCTCGAGTGGGTGAAACAGAACAAACTGACCCAGGTCTTAGTGCAAAGCATTAAAGGTTTTTAACCGTCAGCTCTTGTGCCTCGCATCCATCTTGGGTAGAAGCTGCCACAGAGGAGTAATGGTGTTGCTATTTGCTTATCAGTTGTGGTAAACATTCAAAAGCTGCTCAGAGAAAGCCCACGTCACTTAAGTGCTGTTTCATTCTATTGGTTTATAAACTCCTGGATCTCACCTCTGAGGGTGACTCACTGGGGTTTCAGCTCTGTGCACTGCTCAGCTGCTCTTGCTGTGCCCATATCGACAGAGCGGCCTCCCCCATTCCAGACTCCCCGTCTGTGGTAATGGCACTTGGTGCTTCATGATGATTTCAGCTGAATATAGTAGTGCTAATAATTTAGGAACCCTCAGGATCTCCAAGTCCAAGCTCTGTAGGTGTCTTAGGAAAGGGTCTGGAAATCAAGCTCAAAAGTTGCATTGAGACTTTTTGAGTTAAATTCGAGGGAGATGGCATTTTATCGAGAAATCCAAGAAAACAGGATTGTTTAAGCAGATAGAACTTGTAGGGATCTATTTATCATGCTCTTCCAAGAATATTTTTTAGTAGAACTATGCCAGCTCTTTGCCATAGCCTTGACTTGTCAGGTTTCAGTTTTGGGGTAGAAGTTACAAGGACTCAAACTCTCTCTTTTTTTTTTTTTTTTTTCCTGCCCCATTTCTGAGCTCTTACCTAACCCCGAGAGAGCTGGAAATCTGTTCACCTTTCCACGAGATAGTTTTTCTGTTCCTGATACCGCTCCGATTACAGCAGCTGGAAAAACATCTTTATACTCCCAGCCAAAAATCTGCAGAGAACTATGATTTGGCATCTCCAAGGCTGGGCTGATCTCTTCTCCATCTGAATGCCAAACCCCCTAAGGACTTAGGCAGCAGCCCCGGGAAGTGCCCGGTCGGAAAGCTGGCTGCTCCAGGGGCTGCAGGTGCCCTCCCAGACGCTTCCCCACATTACAATGAGCAGAGGAGGGAGTTTCCTGCTCCTGCTGGAGCCGAGCCAGTCACTTTCTCATCATCCATATTCTTAAGTGGAAGAGCAGATGGATCAGTTGCTTCCTAGATACGACGCAAACACGGATGCATTTGCAGACGGAGCTGCTCTTGTTTTGAAAGGAAGCGTGAGGCTGACCTGTGTAAGGAGCGGCCATCCCTTGGCTCTCCCTCCTCCCAGGGCTGAGTATTCCCCTCACGCCATTCCACAGGCTGTACCAGCTGCCCCCATGCTCTCTGACAGCCCCCCTGGTCAGCGCTTACTGGCCCAGATGTCACCTTCTTAATTCCTCCCTTATTTTTTCCTCATAACTCAGTGTCTTCCCTATTTTATCCAGGTCTCTTTCTCTCTCCTTCGAATCCTGCCTCCCTCCCCTACGTGCTCAACCCTGTCCAACTGAAAAACAACGTGTCACAGGATCCCTGCCGATCTCTTCAGGCTGCACTCAAACAGATGCTCCTGTAACTTCAGGTTTTGGCATGTTTAAAAAGAGGATGAAGCAGCCTGGGAGCTTTAAAATAGGTGTGGGGTTGAAGCTGGCATGAAAACAAAAGCACGTATAAGTCACATCCTATTTTTTTCCCCCCCCTGAACCAAAGCAGAATCAAAACATCCTTTTGCTTTAGTCAGATTAAAACAAAACAGTTAAACAAAATACTGCTGGGAGTAAACAGAGCTGTTGACCTGTCAGTGGAACGCACAAGATCATCAGCTGTGTCCGAGCTGCAGGATAGCTGTGACAATGACACAGGCACAGAGTGTCGCCTTGGGTGGCAAACAGCCCATCCTTGTCCACGGGTGACCACGTTCCACACCGGGGAGGGAAATTTAAGCATGAAGAGTGTAAACCACAAACCTGAGAGTGTGGTTATTATCTAAAGCTTGAGAGAGCGCTGAGGGTTTTGCCAGACCCCTGAGGAGGGGCAGCGTTGCCCATGCGGCCTCCTGTGCTTCTGTGCTCATGGCAAGTGCTGGCCCAGAGGGACCCCCGACCCTCCAAGCCCTCGTGCGCTCTGCATCTGCGTGGGGTGGACCGTGGGCGAACTCAGGTTTAGGAAAAGCTGGAATCGCCTTCTCCTTGTCTTTCCCACACCTTCAAACTGGGCAGAGCCACTGCCCCAGCACCCTGAGCAGCCCGGAGAGACGCACCCGCAGCGGGATGCTCCCTGGGGACGGGGCACTGGGGGACATCCCCCCGGAGCGGGACCGGGGCTGGGTGACACGGAGGGGGGCGGCGGGGGCTCCCCGAGCAGGGACAGCCCCCTCCACCCGGTGCCGCCGGCTGAGCCCGGCCCTCGGCCGGGGCTGGGGCTGGGGCCGCCCCCGGGGCCGGGGCGGGGAGAGGCGGCGGCGCCGGGCGCGGAGCGGAGCGGAGCGGAGGGAGCGGAGCCGGGATGGTCGGACCGCTGCGGGCCGCGCTGGCGCTGGGGCTGCTGGCGGCGGCACAGCCCGCACCGGCCGCGGGGCAGCGGCGGCAGGCGGAGGTAGGGCCGGCACCGGCACCGGGATGGGAGCGGGGAGGGAGCGGGGAGGGAGGGAGCAGCTGCTCCCGGCCGGCGTGGGATGCCCGTGTGCTGGGTGTGCGCGGCCCCGATGTGCCCTCCGGTTGCGCGCGTGTCCCCGTGTGCCTGTGCCATTCGTGTGCCCGTGCACCGGCTGTGCCCATGTGCCGTAGGCGTGCCCGTGTCCCCCCCGGTCGGTGCGTGTCCCCATGTGCCCGCGCCCTGGTTGTGCCTGTGCCATAGGTGTGCCCCTGTCCCCGAGGTACACTCCCACCACGGGTGAGAGTGCCCGTGGGTGCCTGTGCAGGTGTGCTGTGGGTATCTGCGGCGTGTGCGTGGCACAGGGGCGTGGCTGTGCCAGCTGGAGATGGGCCTGTGCCACAGGGTTGTGCTGGAATGCCGAGGTGTGTGCCTGTATGTGCTGTGTGTGTCACAGAGTCCCAGGATGGTTTGGGTTTGAAGGGGCTCTCGAAATCATCTCGTTCCATGCCCTGCCATGGGCAGGGACACCTTCCACAGGTTGCTCCAAGCCCTGTCCAACCTGGCCTTGAACACTTCCAGGGATAGGGCAGCCACAGCTTCTCTGGGCAACCTGTGGAAGAGCCTCATTATCCTCAGAGGGAAGAATTGCTTCCCAATATTTAATCTAGCTCTGCCCTCCTTCAGTTTAAAGCCATCCTTCCTTGTCCTATCACTCCAGGCCCTTGTCCCAAGTCCTTCTCCAGCTCTCTGAAGTCCCTTTAGGCACTGGAAGAGGTTCCAGGTGTCCTTCTCTTCTCCAGGCTGAACAACCCCAGCTCTCTCAGCCTGTCTTCAGGTGTCCCCACAGGTGATGCGTCTGCTGCCACAGAGCTCCAACAACAATAGAACTCCTGCATGAGGAAACCTGCCCATCTCCCAGCATATCAGGAGGGGACAAATGCCAATCCTTCCCCTCCCTGCCTCTCCCCAGGGCTTTCCCCATCACCTCTGTTTGGATTTCTTTTGTTTGTCCCCATATCATTGTCACGCTGTGCCACCATCCGTTCCTGTTTGTTTTGGGAGGACAAGGTATGAGGTTTGGCTGATGAACAAAGGTTTGCATTGGGGATTTTTTTTTCTTGTTTAGGCATCGATCCACTGTACATTTGCACAGATGCTTAATTTTAAACCCCAGTCAGCAAATCCTCGTGAATTAATTGGGATTTTTCACATGCTGTAAAAGTGGACATGAATGCTCGGAGGCTTGTTCTGATGTGCAGGTTTCTTACGCTGGGAGATGTTGCTTCAGAGAGGTTATTTATAGGTGTGCTTGTCCTATTGTGCACAAACCTCAACCCAGCCCCTCATGCCACCTGGAAAAAACAAATCTGCAAAGTTTTCATGCTCAGAAAATCAATAATTTAAAATTCACTATAAAAGAAAACCAACTGATTGAGGGCGAGAGGTTGAAAAAGGTCCAAACTGCCTTTCCATTCCCCACTAGTGACTTCTGAGACCTTTTCCCTGAAAGCCTCAGAGCAGATCCCAGGATTGTGGCAGATCTAAGGCGAGGAGTGCTGGACAAATGACTTTCCTGTCTCTCTGCCTCAGTTTCCCCAATGGGATGGGCTGTGCTGCCCAGGGACTTTGGGACAACACACACAATGAAAATGGAGTGAGAAAGCTTGTCTAAATAAACTGAGCAGTTAATTTTCTTTAAGGAGGAAGCTGAAATTCTCACATAACATCAAATAGTTCTAGTGACTTGTGGCTTTCAGAGCCAGGCTTTCCTTACAAAGCTTTTTTTTTTTTTTTTGCTTTTAAAATAGCCAAAGTTAGCAACAATGGGTTGTGTAAACTTAGATGCACAAGACTGAGAAAATGTCCAGTTGTGTTCTTTTCCTGGCTTGTGCCCATGTTTTCACTGCATCCATATCAATTGCAGCTCAAAAAAAGGGAAAAAAAAAAGAAATGAAGGAAAGTTTGGAAATTTAATTTGAAACATTTGTCTGTTAAATCATCTTATCATCTGCAGGCTCCAGATAGGAGAGGGTCTGATGTGAGAGAGCAGTTTGGCTGTGCTGTGCTCAGGCAGCAGTGAGAATGCCTGAGATTCCCTGATCCTGGGGGAATTGTGTAAAATACACAGGGCATGTGAGATCTCAGCCTGTGCTGGGAGTGAGGAGCACAGCGAGATGCTGTTTGGTGGTGCCAAGGGCAAAGGACAATATGCAGAGATTTGTGTGAAAAGCTACAGATCTGTTGCAGTGGGAAGAACAACGGAGGAAATTAGGAAAAGCAGTGAATGGGAATAGAGAGCAAGACTCTGGGACTGGGACATTCTCATTTAGGAGTTTTTTTCCAATTTTTTTTCCCCTAGCCTGCATTCCTCCTTCCTATCTTGTTCATGGCCTTTTTCCCACTCTGAGCCACCCAAGGACTTACATTTAGGACTCTGAGCTGTGTTTGTGCTGAGAAGTACTCCGGTGTCCAGCTGAGCTCCTTTAACGAGCATCCAGTTGGGATGCTGGATGCTGAGCACAACCTGGACGGAGAGAGGCTCTCTGGGTACCACCCAGCACATGGAGGGGCTGGGAGGTCAGCTGGGACCCCTGCGTGCTCCCAGGGCACCCCACATCCTCCCTCTGAAACAAGAAGGGGAAGAAGTTCTTCTTCCTGTGAAAAATTCCTGCCGCTCAGCCCTCAGCACGGCAATGGAAGGCGTGGGTGAGAGGAGGAGGCATCACCCGTGTGAGGCACCGCTGGGCTCTGCGCGGACACGCAGCACCCGTGAGGTCGCGTCTCTTGAGCCGCGGATGTGGCGAGCGGCTCCGACTCACCCGGCAAATCCCCCGGTGTGATTTACGGCCCCGTGAGTCACCGCAGCACGAACAGCCCTGCTTTCTTCCTGCCTCTCCCCCAAAACAATCCCCGCTTGTTACGGCAAACATCGCCCGCCGGGCAAGGGGCCGCGGGGACGTCTCCTCCCAACCCCGGTTCCCACCCCGGTGGAGTAGCAAGACCAAGCGTCTGGTTTCCTTTCTCCCCTTAGACATGAAAGCACAACCAGTCTGCGTGACCAAACTGGTTTGTCAGCCGCTCTGGTATTCGCAGGGGAAGGTTTGGCCAAGCCCAGTGTTTTTTCCCCGTTTTCCCCGAGCGCTTTGGGTCGCGTTCAGGGGTTCTGGTGCTGCTGGAGCTGTGGTGGGTGGGTGCAGCCCGTCGGTGTCGGGTGTGGGGTGCTGGGGCAAAGCTGGGGGGTTCCCGGTGAATTATCACAGAATCGTACAATGTTTTGGGTTGGAAAGGACCTTAAAGCTCATCTCATTCCAAGCCCCTGACATGGACAGGGACACCTTCCACTGGACCAGTTTGCTCCGAACCCCATCCAACCGGTTACTGAAACCAGGACTGGCTTTAGTTAGACCTGATACATTCCTGGCTTGTTGTCCCTCAGCTCCACAAGGTCGAGCGTGACAATAAAGGGAGCTTAAAAGCCCCACTTCCTCAGTGGCAAGGGAATATTTTGTTGCTAAAGTAGATTTCCAGGGAGGGTAGGGGGAGAGGAGATTCCCTCAGGACCAATTAGGCACAGCAGGGGAGCATCCCAGCGACTTGAGGGGCTTGGGGCTTTAATCACCCTCCTGTCACACACAGAATTAGCTGAGGTTTTGCTGCCTTTTCGGCGGGAGGACGACCAAGCTCTGTGCTCGCTAATCTCCCTTCTTATGTGTCTCTCTGTGTCCATAGATATAATATTTATATAGATACTTGTACACACACTTAAACAAAAGAGGCGCGAGGACTCTGCCTGAGGGTTTGCAGGGATGTGGCTTGGGAGAGTGGAAGCAAATGAGCGTTTTTAATTGCTGTGACATCTTCTGGAGGCGGCTCCCAGGCGGCAGCGACTCGGTGGGCAGGAGGAGCCCCTGCTTCTTCTGTGATCAGGCCAAAACACGCCCTGGGGTCAGCTCTCCTCCTGTCTGTACAGGGGGAAACTGAGGATGAAAAGTGGGAGCCACCGTGCCCGTCTTGGTGGTGAGATGATGCAGGATGGAGCCTGGGGCTGCTGGGACGAGGGCTGAGGACACACCTGGGCTGGTTTTGGCGGGTTGCTGCCATTTCATGACTAAAAACAAAAAACTTTTGAGGTACAGCTTGAGACAGGCTTCCTCTGTAACCATAGCACGAAGCTCCTGCCCGCGCTTCGGCAGGATGGGATCGCTTCTCTCCGCTGCTGGGGAATGGAGGGGAGAGGTGGTGTTGGTACCAGGCAGAGCAGAGGGACAGTGTTCATCAGGAGCCCAGTGTGAGGCTTCTCTGGTGCTTAGCTGGTGGAAAGGAGCCAGAAGTTGAGTATGTGGAGGGGAGAGCAGGCAGGACCGGAGCCTGCTGTCTCTGCACTCGTGTTATCCTGGTTTCCAGGGAGGGAGGACTAATTGTATTTGCTGTTGGCTGTCTTCCACCTGGGATGCCTGTGGTCGAGGGCAAGGTGTTTCCTTGGCTTTAGCTCTCAGCAGAGATGATTTCCAGGGTTGTAACAGGCTCCACATCAGAGGCCTGAGATGGGAACGGCCCATCCATCTCCCTGAACTCTCCTCCCGCTGTCCCTGCTGCAGCTCTGAAGGATTTTCTGCCCCAGCACTGGCTCCCAGGCAGCCAGATCCGTGCTCCTCTCCCTCCCTCAGGCGGAGGGGGAAGCTGGGCATATTTCATGTTAATGTTCAGCTCTTGGTTTCCTGCTGTTTTTCTTTCCCCATTGTATGGAAAAGAGCATTTCCCCATCTAGGGCAGGAGGGAGGGGGTTTTCCCAGCATGGCCAGGCTTTGCATTGCTGTCTCAGGGGAGGATTAATGGGCTGGTACTGAATTCCACCCAGCCCTACCAGAGCCTGGCTGGGCTCTGGGGGGTTGTGCAGTGCTGGAGGGGATCTTAAGGAGTGCTGGTTCAATCATAGGACACCGTGGCATGGGGCTCTTGGGTTTCCCTGCACACTGAAATCTCTCTGGTCCAGGGGTCTTTGTATGGTCTGATAAATACCTGACAGAGTGGAGGATCAGCGCATCCCTCTCCTGTAGCTTTGTGTTTCCAGGACTACCATCACCCTTAACAGACAGTAGGTGTGTCTAGAAAATTTAATAAAATTTCTCCTGATGATTTTGCAGCTGGAGAGTTGGTACCTGTGTGTGAGAACCAGGCCAGAAACTCCAGGGAAACTGCTGCTTTGGTTGGACTTGCAAAGCTCAAGGAGACCTGGGCAGGAATGATAAAGCCAGTGGCCTGTGTGCCTCCTGGTGCTGCTCAAGAGCAGCTGCTTGACACCAGTTGCTTTTTTTGCTGTGCACCCTGACTTGTCCAGATGGGGTTTCAAGCCTTCATGAGATCATGGTGGGGAGAAACCATTTTCATGCTTTATGAATGGAACTGTGTTGGGTTACAGGCGAGGAAACAGCTTCAGGTTGTTTTGCTTTAGATGCTGAGTGAAAGCAAACGTGTGTGGTAGAAAAAGTTTAGGCTGTGCTGTGATCTGAGACCCGGGACTTTCTGTCCTTGTGCTTCTCAGCTCACATTTATCTGTGGTGATGTCACCACTGGGATCATCACCCTGCACCCATATATGTAACTGGGGATTTTCTAATTCTGGAGGAGAACTTCATGAAAACACAACAGCAGAGGAAAAGAGCCAAGATACCTTCTCCTCTCCAGGCTACTCTCTTAGGGCTCCAAGCCACCCCATCCCCAGGGAAGTTACTTCACCCCCATATCCTCCTTCCCTGCATCCTCATCCTGAGTTGCCACTCTATTTTGCCTCCTGGTACCCATGTAAAGTGGGGAGTTGGGGCTGGGGGATGGCATGTCCAGGCTGTACAGTCCCTCCTTGGGCAGAGGTGGTGTGGCTTCTCCCAGTGAAGAAGCTGGCACTCTCACCTGCCAGTGCAGGCCTTGCTCGTGCCTGATTTATCCTGACTCACCTGACCAGGTGTGGGGGGTCTGGGTAGCTCTGGCCACACTGGGCTCTCACTGCTGGTGCCTCCAGCTGAGACAGGCTCCTCTGGTGGGAAACATGGCCAAACTCTTCTTCTGGGACTGGATGAGGAGTGTGTCCAGCAGGAAACTGTGCCAGTCCTTGCTGTGCTGCAGCCAGAGGGGGATTCTCCAGGTAGAAGGGGAGTAAGGGAGGAGAGCAGACTCGGCACCTGGAGGAGATGAGGTCTGCAGGAGCACGCGCGGATGTGCCTGCCCTGCCCGTGGGGAGGTGGCAGGCGCAGGGGTGACGTGTTTGGGGGTGATGTGGAGATGATTGTTAGTGGCAAGCAGAAAGTTTGGGCAGGAGGAGGAAAAGGAGAGGCCCTGGCACACCTCAGGACTGTCATGTCCATAAGCCATTCCTGCTCCTTGCCAGGTGACAGTCCCAGGAAGGGATGCTGCCTCCTCCGCAGGGGGACTGAATCACCCGCTGGAGGTGGACGATCAGGAGCAGCACTGAGTGGAGGTTGACATCCCAACCCCCTTTTCCCTCCTCTGAGATGAGCAGGGAGGGGAAGCAGCTTTGAAAACACACATTTTCCCAGAGGGCAGCAGCCGTGCCGTCCGGGTCAGCCCATGGCATTCCTGCTACTCCTCACACTTCTCCTTTGGGATGCGGGGAAAGGAAGCCACCACTTTCACTTTTTATTCTTGTTATTACTCATTACTGTAACTCCTCCGACTGTGCTGCACTAACAGGATGCTGGGCAGCTTGTTTGTCTCCCGCAGACATCCCCTGCGGGGCAGGCGGGTGTGGAGCATTCCCGTGACCCCGGCTATTAACTTCTCCCAGAGCTGGGGAGCAGCCTGAGCCGAGGGAAGCCGTTTATTTTCTTTAACGTGCGATTTAAGTTGTTGGAGCAAGTTCAGAGAGGCAACCTCCGTCCGTGTCAATGGCCGATAAGAAGAAGAATGGTTTGGCAGAGCTGATTGCCCCCAGCGTGTCTCCACTTTGCGGCAGCACATCCTGCGTGGGGATGGGGGGAGGCTGCAGCCTGACCCCATCTCACCCCACCCTCCTCGTGTCCAGAGCACTTTAGCCTTTATTTCAATCACTGCGTCGGGCCGAGGGGATCAGAGCTGTGGGTTTGGTCGCCTCGGGCCGTGGATGACAGGGCAGCAGAGTGTTTTGATCTCTTGATGCAGTGTTTCCTCCTACGCCTCCCGTTGTGTCATGGCCAAAAACCCCAAGAGCCATCAAAACTGATGGGGTGGAGACACACATAAACCTGTATGGGCACAGGAGGTGCAGCTGCTTGAAGTGCAGAGGTCTCAGGGAGAAAATAAGTGGGAATTTCACACAGCCCTGGGTTTGCAGCACTGCTTTCCCTTGCATCTCCTTTTTTCCCCCCCTTCCCAAGCCAGCCACGTGCTCTGAGCTGCACTTCTCCCATCTCCCCTTGCAGCTGTTCCTGGAGAAATACGGCTACTTCGGCGAGCCAGGGCCCGGCACACACAGCCCCGCCGAGTTCACCGAGGCGCTGAGGTAGGAGCCCGTCGCTGAAAACTGCAGGAAAAACCCAGCAGCTCCTGCTGCCTGGATGGTGCCAGCACTCAGAGGGTCTTTTTGCAGCCAAAGGGGTCTCTTTTGCAGCTGGAGGCTCTCTCTCACGGTCCGATGGTAAAGCACAAGCAGTCCTTTTTGGAAAGGCCAGTCCGTGCCCGGCTCCCGCAGCTGGATGCCGGCTGCTGGCACCCGGCGCTTGTGGAGCTCCTTTATTTGCCTTTTATGGCCCGGTGCTCCCCTTGCAATAATATCTGCGGGGAGGCCGAGGTTGGGGACGGCTGGGAGATGTCGGGGGGGCGAGCGGCCAGCCCCTTCTTGGACTTCTCCTTAGGAGACCACATCAGCTCTGGGAGTATCCCTGGCCTGACCCCGCCCAAAGTCAAGTGCAAAGTCAAACACAAAGTCTAACAACTGGGGTAAAAAACTGGAAAAGGCACTTTTTTAGACTCCCCTGTCTGCTTTTGCCCTGCCAGGAGGTGACTTACAAGTCAGACGTGGTTGCAGAGCCAAATCCTTCTTGGTTTATCACCTGGGTGAAGTCCTGGTGGCGGGGTGTGAAGCTTGCTGGGTGAAAACAAACAGAAACAAACCCCCGCCAGGTGGGGTCCAGATGAGGGTGCTGATATCTCCCTCCCTTTTCCAGGGATTTCCAGCGGGTGACTCACCTCCCGCTGAGCGGGGTGCTGGATGCCCCCACGCTCCATCAGATGGCCCGGCCGCGGTGTGGCACCGATGATGGGGAGAGCAGAGCAGCCGGGACACGCCGGGCATCAGCCGCCCGGCGCCGCCGGCGCACGGCACAGCACGGTGAGCACCGACCCCGGGGGTCCCTGTGGGGCTTGGATTCTGGGCTGCTGGAATGCTGCAGGTCCAGCTCTCCCATCCTGGACTCTGGGGATGCTGCTGTGGGTGGGAGGGGCGGCCCTGCCGGCACCGCACCCATCCCAGGGCCCGCTTGGGCTTTGCACAGCTTTGTTTTTGCACCTCTTTATTTTCAGTTGTTCTGCGTGTCTTGGTGTCAGCAGTGATTAGAGATTTCCCACTCGTGAGGAAATTTGGCTCCCTGGGGTCGTTTTACTGCTGTTGAGGGAGCCAGGGCATCTCCCAGGGAGAGATCAGGTCACTGTGGCCCCGGACAATGCCTGTGATGCCAGGATCTGGAGGGCAGGAGCTGGCAAGCAGTGGAGTTATCTCTAGGTTTTGCTGAGCTTTGGGAATTCTGTCATGTGTTAATCACCCAGCAGTAACCAAAAAACCTGCCAGCACTGGGCGACCTGAGCCAGGGAGTCATTTCACCCATGTTAAGGCATTTAAGTCTTCTCCAAGCATCCTTTTGTGCTCCTGTGCATCCAGGATTGGGCCTCTTGTCCCTCATGAGCTCCCTCCTGGGCTTGTGGATGAGTAACTGGATTCCTAGAGAGCAAGAGGGCCGGGGCCAGCTGTGCTTAGGACATGGGAAAAATGAAGGCGAGATTAAGAAAGGGCTCTGTGCCGTGTCAGGCTGTCTCTGCATCTGGCAAGGCTGGCGGTGAACAGCCCCAAGAGAGCTCCCTCATCCTCCTCCAGCCTCTGGCTTTCCTTCCAAAGCCCTGGCATGCAGTATGACCCTTGCAGGAGCCACTTCATGCCCAGGGCAGGTGGGCAGTGAGGCAGAGAGGGAAGGGCCAAATGCCAGACCTCCCTCTTCCCAAGAACTGGCCATGTTTGGCTCACCCAGCCTTGCCTGCTAGTGCCGTCCACCCTCCTCTGAGAGTAGATGCTCTGCTCCCATGGAGGGAAGGATGGCATGCCAGGGCTTTATTTTAGGGCTGCAGCCATCCAGGCAGGTTTTAACTTTTGCTACTCAGTCCTGGTAGCAGCACATCCGTGTCCCTTTGGAGTTGGGGGCTGTGGTGGCACTGTCAAGCAGTGGGAACTGATCCTGCCCCCAGGAGCGTGACCAGCTGGCCCAGAGTCTCCCCTGCCATGGGCTTCTCAGAAATGGGGGAGAAGGAAGCAGAGCTAGGGTTGGATGTCTGCCAGGTCTGAGCTCTTGGCTCAGACCCGGAGCAGCGAGCCCCGGCGTGCTGCCGGCTCCATTCCCCCTGTTTTCCCGCACATCTGGAGCAGATGCAGACACTGGAGGTCTGTCACCGCTCCCACGCCTCGGCACCGGCTCTGGCACCCGCATCTCCCCAGGGCCCCACGACTTTTTTCCTGCTCCTGGCCAGGTGCACCGTGCTAGATGTAATCCCAGGGCCCTGGGGTCCCCAGAGCTGCCAGGGGGGTGCTGGAGGAGGAGGAGGAGGCTGTGATGCTGCGCAGCAGCTGCAGGAACACAGATCTTTGCACTCCTGTGTGACAGGAGGAGGGTTGGGAGTTTAGGGAGGATCACACATGCTTCTTCATTGTCCTGGTGGCATCAGGGCTCTGCCTCCCCCGAAAGCTTTTAAGGAAGCCTTGGGCAGTAATCTGTTGTTCCCCCAAGGTGCTGCCAAGACCCCTTCTCATTCCTTTGCCTAACTTGTTTCCAGAGGTGGCTTTGCTTTCTCTCCCTGAAATCCAGCCCTTGGGCTGCATCTTCTGGACATGGAACTGGCATCAGGCAGGAGACCTTCCAGCAAGGACCCCTGCTGAATTTGGCTCTGGAGAGTATACTGAGCCAAGGGTGGGGTTCAAACTGGGTGCCCTGGCTTCTCCTCCCCTCAAAGACATTTTGACCCCTCTCTTAGGATTTGGCTGCAGCTCCAGCCTTGGCAGTCTCTGGGTGGGCTCTAGTGGTGGCACCTTCAGCAGGATTCCGTGGTGGTGCAGGGGGCTGAGGTTGCTGGTGGCACTGAGTCGGCATCCAGCCTTGCTTTGGGAAAGCCATGGCATTTCCCAGCCCTGGGAAGCTTTCCTCCGCTTCCTGGGTGGACAAACCAGTCCGAGTGCCCTTGGTCACACTGAGCTTGCCCCCGCCGCAGGTGGGAGGTGGTACAAGAGGCACCTGACGTACCGGGTGGTGAACTGGCCGCCGTACCTGCCGCAGCACGAGGTGCGCCTGGCCGTGAGAGCCGCCTTCGAGCTCTGGAGCAACGTGTCCTCCCTGGTGTTCTGGGAGGCGCGGGACGGCCCCGCTGACATCCGCCTGACCTTCTTCCACGGGGACCACAACGACGGACTCAACAACGCCTTCGATGGGCCAGGTGCTGGTCGCTTCCCCCTTGTAAGCTGCTCTTCTACAACGTGCGCTCTTCCCCGGCAAGGGAGGAGGGCTGGGGGGGTGAGGGAGGCAGGGCTCTGCCCCAGCAGTGCCTCTTAGCCCAGTTGGCAGCCTTTTGCCGTCTGATTTGGGGTCCTCCCTCCCAATGCAGCAGAGGTGGCTGTGATATTCCTCATAGGATCACGCTGGTGGCCTTTTGAGGAGCCCTCCCCATTTGACGGCACCCTCCAAAGCAGAGCTAAAACTGGTGCCCGTTTAGGCAAACCAGAGCCACGTGTGCCCCCTGCCCCGTGGTCCCTGATGGCTCTCGTGTCTCCAGGAGGTGCCCTGGCCCACGCCTTCTTCCCCCGGCGTGGGGAAGCCCACTTTGACAGCGCCGAGCGCTGGTCCCTGCACAGCGGCAAAGGGCGCAACCTCTTCATCGTGGTGGCTCATGAGGTCGGGCACACGCTGGGGCTGGAGCACTCCCCTGTCAAGAGCGCCCTGATGTCTCCCTACTACAAGAAGCTCAGCAAGGATTTTGTCCTCAGCTGGGATGACATCTTGGCCGTCCAGAACTTGTACGGTGAGCCTGGCTTCCCCGAGCACCCCTCGGGGTGGGCCCCACTCCTGCGTGGCTGGGGAGGGGGAGTTTGGAGCCCTGGGATGGCTCCTCAGCCCCTGTGCTTTGGACAAAGCCCATTCCCTGCCCCTTCTCTGTAACTCACCACCTTTTGCTCAATCCCAGGGAAACCCTCCAAGGGCTTGGCTGTCCAGCTCCCAGGAAAGGTCTTCACCCACTTCCAGGACTGGAACACGGATCTTTATGGCAGGGACCGGCAGCAGAGGAGCCTCAGCACCTACTACTGCCACTCCTACTTTGATGCCATAACCGCTGGTGGGTGTTGGCCAGTGTGACCCTCACCCAAACTGTGCACCCCTACCCTTGTCCCAGCCTGGTTCCACTCTGATAAGCTCCAGTGGTGGGAAAGGGGGGTTTTGACTCATCCACAGCCCTGTACGTGCTCCTGGGACTGGGGCACTGATGCACATTGCTGCTGTGGAATAGGGTGCATCTTGAGGGCACAGCAATGGCTCAGTGTGTCAGGAGAAGGGAAAACATCCTGAAACTTGGGCCATGGCAAGAATTAATTGCTGCTGGAGCTCAGCTGTGAAAGATGAGCCTGGAGCTCTGATCAGCTTTTATCCTCTCCGGGCTGGAGCGAAGGCGATGAATCATGAAAGCTGGGGGGATGGCTGGAGAGGAAGAAGGGAACATCCAAAACATCTCCAAACCCCCACAGGGCTGCGTGGGGAGGAGAGGGGAGGTGGGGAGCAGTGGTGGGGCGGTGGAATGAGGATTCTCACCTGAGGCACCCTCCCTCTGCCTCACAGACGCAGATCACAACCTCTACATCTTCAAGGGCAGCCACTACTGGGTGGTGTCGGCGAGTGGCAATGCCAGTGACCCACAGCCCCTGGACTCACACTGGACCGGCCTTCCCGCTGGCATCGACGCCTGTGCCTGGTCAAGGCTCAGTGGCAAGTTTTATTTCTTCAAAGGTAGGTGAGGCCTGGGCAGGGGAGCTCCTGTTGTGGCTCCTGCTGCTCCTGCCTGCAGGGCTGGGTGTCCAGGTCTGGCTGGAGCACTCCTGCCCATGACCCCTCCTGCCCATGACCCCTCCCAGTGCAGAGCTGAGGCATTGTGGTGTCATGGGTGTGCAAAACCCTGGGCTTGGTGGCTGCCACGGACTGGGATGTGTCACCCTGGCAGCCACATCACCCCCTCGTGCCTCAGTTTCCCCATCAGCCCGTTCAGGAGAGCAGAGCTCACTGGTGTGTCAGAACCAAACCGGGTGCATCAAACCCTGTGGGGTCTTGGGGAGAAAACTCTCCCCAAAGACACGAGGTGGAGAGGAGCTGAGTGTGGTGTTTTCGTGGCACACATGGATCCCTGTGTCATGCTGGGGGCTGAGCTGCCCCCGGAGCTGGAATGCCATCCCTAAGCTGCCCGGCAACCACAGCTGGACGGGGAGAGGAAGGTCAAACCAGGCAGCCCGGCTGCCAGGGTCAGCCCCAGCTTTTAATGGAAACCAGTTGCTGGTTCTTCAGAAAAGGGGCTTTGTTGCTGCTGCTGGGTGAGAGCCAAAGCCCCTCTGACTCCCCGGCCCTCACCACTCCCTCCGTCCTTCCCCAGGGCCGGGTGAGGCTGCGGCTTGGGAGCAGAAAGGGGCTTTTGTCTGCCTGTGCTGTGGGGACAGGGCACTGTGGGGACAGGGCACTGTGGGGATCGCTGAGCCATCGGTCCCCATCAGTTCCTGCTGCTGCTGTGCTGGTTTTGGTTGTTCAGACCAAGTCAGGTCTGGGTCTGTCTGTCCCACTCTCTGTGCAGGAACAGGGGAAGGTTTGCAAGGAGGCAGCATCGGGGTAGGGCCTTGCTCTGTCCCTGGCAGTCCCTTTCGATGCCTTCAAACCCCTGAGCTGCTGTGCCTCACAGTGTGCCCCCAGCCTGTTCCTTGGGGCAGTGGTGCCCGTTGGGTCACCAGTGGGACAGATGTCACAGACACAAGGCTGGCTCCGTCACTGAGTCTTTCCACATCTCCTGGAGCTGGTCCTGCCATGGACCCTCTTGGGGTGGGCTCTGACCCCGTCCCTGTCTCTCCCCAGGTGGCCGGTGCTGGCGCTACGCGGGCTCCACCCTGGAGGCGGGTTTTCCCCAAAAGTGCAGCGCCCGTGGGCTCCCTCGGCACCCGGACACCGCGCTCTACTTCCAGCAGCTCCGGCGCCTGGTGCTGTTCAAGGGCCCCAAATACTTCGTGGTGAGCGAGGAGACCCTGGCTGTGGAGCCCTACTACCCCCGCAGCCTGCGGGACTGGCAGGGGCTGCCCCCCGGCACGGCGGGGGCCCTCGCCCACCGCGACGGCTTCATCTACTTCTTCCGGGACGACCAGTTCTGGAAGTTTGACCAGGCAAAGCTGCAAGTGGTGGCCACTGGCAAATGGGCCACCCAGCTCCCCTGGATGGGCTGCTGGGATGCGAACAGTGGGCAGGTCCTCTTCTGAGCAGAATCTGCTGGGATGACACGGGGGTCTGAACCCCACCTCGCTCACCGCTGCCTGGATCCCTCTTTATTTGACTCTGGGTTCCTGTCTGAGGATGGTTTGGCAGGGAGACTGGCTGCCTGTGGATGGCTGGAGCCGTGGGATGGTGGAGCAGTGTCCCAGCACAGCATGGATGCAGTGGGACAGGTCTGTCACAGCCAGGTGGGCTGGAGGCTTTGGGTAACAGTTTGGCTTTTTTTAAAGACCACAAAAAAAATACATAAGCCATGGAGACTGCAGTCACACCCATTTCTGTTGAGGTTCAGGATATCGTTCCACAGTTTTTTACAAAGCAGGACTGGGATTTGTTGCTACTTTTTGATATCTTTGTTGATACTTGTTCATATCTGTCGTTTTCCCACGATCAGGAGGAGAAGTGCCTCGCCACTGCTTGGCTTGGGGTTTGGATGCTTTTAAATAAGAGATTGAGACTATTTCCTGCTTTAAAAAAAAAAAAGAAAAAAAAAGAAAAAAAAAAAAGGAAAGAGACATTTGGACAAAACTTTGGATCCGTGTTAAGCTTTGCTCCTTCTCTGTGCACAGAGCCCCAGGGATGGGGGATCGGGTGCTTTGCTGGGCTGTGCTCACATCCCAGAGCTCTGATGAGGCACCAGCTGGAGACACCAACACATTGGGATTTAGGGGGAGAAAGCAGAGGGGTTTGGTGCAGGAGCCTCTTTGGAATGCAGAGAGAGAGGAGGCACAGCTGAGATGTGACCATGGGGCTGTGCAGCTCACGGGCAGCTCTGCTTTGTCTCTGCAAGGGACAGGATTGGTGTATTTTTGAGTCGCTGTGCCACAGTTGGATGAACAAGGGGCTGACAAATTACTGGGGGAGGAGGGGAAGAGGAGAGGGTGAGCAGGGCAGACATGTCTGTGCATGCAGGCTCACAGGGACAGTGTGGCTGCATATTCCTCATTCCTTTCCCGAAGCAGGCTCCCCACCTGGAAACGCCACTGGCTCCTGTGCACAGTCACCTGTCCACCATCGTGTCCCACGACACGTGGGCAAGCATTGGCTTCCCAGGGCTGGAGCTGATGGTTCTCCCAGGATTCAGACCCCAGCGCTGCTTTGGGCTGGTCCTGCTGGGCCAGTGCTGTGTCAGGGTGCTGTGCTGTGGTGCCATGCCAGGGTGCCCTCCCCCTGCCAGCAGCTCAGAGGACTCTTTTCTTCAGCACAGCATCCTCCCCTCACCCTCGCTCACCCTAAACCTTCCCTAGGGAGGGCAGGAGCCAGGCTTGCCCCAGGCAGGGTGCCAGGGGTTGGTACTTCCCAAGGGGTTTCGGTGCTGCTGGCTGGGATGTGGGTTTGGCAGGATGGGGAGCCACCACTCTTCCTGTTCATCACAATACCTGTGAGTGAGCCCTTCGTGCACAGCCATGAACACGGACACTTCATCTGCTTAAAACCTCAGGGGACTTTCAGCGTTGCCAAAGAAACTGGGCCGCAGCGTTTTCATTTGGAATTGAATGATAACAACCCGCGGGGAGTCCCAAGGGCTTGGAAACCTCTTGGCAAATAAAACGAACCTCTGGATATGTGGCACTGGGATTTCTGCTTGTTTTCGTGTCCCAGCTTGGTTTTGGTTTGTGGTTGTTTTTTTTTTAAAGCCAATCTCCAGTTTCCTGACAGGGCTGTGTTTTAGATGCCTGTGGCTGTTTGGGGTTGGAGTGGGTATTGCTGAATTTGGCCTCAGCTTTTGTGCTCGCTGGATCAAAGGGAGGAGATGGATCCCACTGTAAACTCACTGATGGTGATGAAAACAGGGAAACTCTGTTTCCTACTTTGTCCCAAATTACTGAGGATTTTTCCACACCTTGGGATGTGTTAGTAGTTTTCTTTCCCCAGGCTGAATTCAGGGTGATGGGGGCCCTCCAGCCTATTGAAGAAGTGTGTGAAGGTGGATCCTTACTTCTCGAGGGACAGGGAACACTCCAGCCAGCTCCCTCAGCTGCCACTGGCTGTGGGATCTGCAGTGTGATGGGGGGAATAATAGGGGTGTTGATGGGGTGATGGGGGATTAATGGAGGGATTAAGGGGGGAATGGAGGATTGATGGGCAAAGCTGGCACTGGACAGGGTCTTTCTGTCAAGGCGTTTGCTCTGGGTGTCAAGCAGGGGCAGGAGAGCAGTGTCACTCCTTCTCCATGTGCAGGAGGATTTCTGGGCCAGGCTGTACCCCAGGGATACTCCACACCTGCAGCTTTGCTGAGAAGCAGCAGTTCATTATGCCCTTTTTAGTTCCCTTAGGAGAAAGCAGGCATCCCATCTGCTGTGGGACTGGAGGCTGAGGATGGGACAACCTCAAACCCTCTCCCTTTTTTGGGTTTTCCTTTTCCTCCCTGGCTTGCTGCCCTGTGTTTTCCTGTGGCTGTGTCCCATCGGGAGCCTTGGGGTCCTGTGATGCTGCCAGGGCTGGGTCTGAGTACAGCATTTTTGGCAGGGATGGGGTGACTGTGCTGTATCACCTGCACCCCACCGGTGTGAGGGGGACCTGGGGGAGGTGAACTCACACCCTGAGCTGTGCAATCAGCCCCTCTGGGTCCCCTGGCTGGAAATCCGGCTTCACAAGGGTCCTTTTCTGCTGCTGGGCTCCCTGGCTGGGCATGCCAGGCGCAGACTCCTCCAGCCTGCCACACATTCCCAGGCAGAATAGCTGGGATTCTTGCACTTCCTCCCCCGAAACGACACTGGCTGGACAGTGAGCTGCAGTGAGCATCAGCAGCTGGCTCCAGGGAGAGGACAGGTCTCTCAACACAGCAAGAAGCCCCCCAAAGCCCAGGACAGAGCCCCCCCAAGCACACAAGAGGCTCTGTTTCGATCCTGAGGTGTGACCACTTCCCTGGTAGATTTGCTTTTTGCAGAGGTACCTGGATGCTGCTGCAGCTCTGCAAGCCCTGGGTTGGGGAGGGAGTATCCCACATTCCCAGAGGTGCCCACTCATGTGTAGTTATTTCCTTAAAGCCCCAACTCCTGGAGTCCCTCTGTCCCTGGAGGAGCTTGGCTTTTACCAAAGACCTCACTGTTGGGGGCAATTTGGGGGGAAGTTTGCAAGGAAGCACAGGGCAGAGAAAGCCCAAAGGTGGGTGTGGAAATAAACCCTCCTCACCTTGAGGTTGCCCTGAAGATGCATCTTGTAGGGCCACCAGGTTGGAGGGGTGTCAGGAAGGGGGAAAATCCTTTAATTTATCCCTCTCATTTGGTTCTGAGCAACTAGGGAAGCTGATGAGCTGCTCTCTAATTCCTTCCTGTCCTGGAGCCAGGGCCCTTGGGGGAAAATCCACCCCTTGCATGGCTGGGGAGGAGCAGGTGCTGAAGGGTTAAGAGGGAGTGTTTGCAGCCAGTCCCTTGTCACCAAGGAGAAGGGATCAGCACTTGGGAAGGAAACAAAACACCCACTGCCCAGGAGGGTGATTTCCTTCAGCCCTCAGACCCCAGAAGGGCTCTGGACACCAGGAGGACGGCAGTGTCACCATCCCGGGTGACAGGGAGCAAGTGGCACCGGGTGAGTGTGGCTGCTGGGGAGGTGGGCTGGGGGCACAGCTGGGGCAGCTCCCCGTGTCCCCATCACCCATGTCCCATCACCCATGTCTCCATCATCCCATCTCCATCAACCTCCTCCCAGTCTTATGGCAGAATGTGGGGCACTCCGGCGGTGCGGAGCATCCGTCCCTACCCGACCAGCCAGCAGTACCTGTACGCCATGAAGGAGGACCTGGCGGAGTGGCTGAAGGAGCTGTACGACCTGGACATCGGGGTGGGCACCTTTTTGGAGGTGCTGGAAACGGGGGCTGTGCTCTGCTCCCACGCCAACAACGTCACCCAGGTGGCCGAGGAGTTCGCCCGCGCCTACCCCGACATGGCCCGTCACCTCCACCTGCCCACTGCTGGTGTCACCTGCAACCTCACAGCTCAGCCAGGCACCTTCCAGGCCAGGGACAACGTTTCCAACTTCATCCAGTGGTGCAGGAAGGAGATGGATATCAAAGGTAAGATGTCAGGCTCCTGTTGCCCCATGTGTCTGTGTGCAATTTCCCTCCAGATGCTCCTGACATCACCACGGATGTTTTTCCATGTGCCCCCCAAAATCAGTGCCACCCCAACATGGGGCAGCACCGTGTGCATGCACCCCTGAGCTGGCATTCCTTGCACAAGTTCCTCCAGGCTTGGCAGCAGCTTTGCAAGGTGCTGGCACACACCTGGTGTGTTTGCTTGGGTGCAAATATGCGCTGGAGGGGTGGAAAAGGAAAGGGTGTATGGCCAGTGTGTCCCTGCCAGGCATGGCATGATCCCAGCTGTAAGGAGAGTGGGAGAAATCCTGTCTCACCCAAGGGTCTGTCAGCCAGTCCTACCACCAGTGGATGCCCAGGAAGGGGAATGGCACAGAGTGGCACACCCTCAAGGCACCTAGACTAGAGTTTTGCAGCTTTGCGGTGCCACAAAACAGCTGTAGATGCTCAAGAAGATCTTAAATCTTTTAATTTATCCCAACTCTTGTTGAACCCAACCATATTCCCAGCAAGCTGGCTCCGGTGAATAGCACCCCTTTGGGTGGGTTTTGACTCCATCTGGGCCCTCATCCCCTTTGTCCCCATCCCCACGTGTCAGCCCTGGCTCAGCCCAGCCCTGCCCTGACCCAGATGTGCTGATGTTTGAGACGGAGGACCTGGTGCTGAGGAAGAACGAGAAGAACTTCGTGCTGTGCCTGCTGGAGCTGGCACGTCGCGCTTCCCGCTTCGGCATGCGCGCCCCAACCCTGGTGCAGATGGAGGAGGAGATCGAGGAGGAGCTTCGCCAGGAGCTGGACCTGCCCCCCACAGACACCCCCCTGCCCCAGCCCCCCAGGAAACCACGGGACCTCAACAACCTCGACCAGATGGTGTGGAGGGGCATGGGATGGGGATGAGCATGGGGATGGACAGGGATGGGGATGGGGATGGGGATGGGGATGGGGATGGGGATGGGGATGGGGATGGATAGGGATGGCTGCTCCGGGACCCATTCCTGCATCCTGCAGGTCCAGCACCTGGTGAGCCGCTGTACCTGCCCTGTCCAGTTCCCCATGATCAAGATATCTGAAGGGAAATACCGCGTGGGCGACTCCGACACCCTCATCTTTGTCCGGGTGAGTCTGCTCCTCCCCGTGCTTTTGGGGCACAGGCACGAGGAGTCCTCCTCTGCTGCCTTGATGCCTCTTCCCTAATCCATCCCCCAGATGGGGCCAGTGTGGGAGTTTTGACCATTATTCCCAAAGCAGGGCAGGAGGGAAGCTCAGCCCTGCTGTCAGTGTTTGCATGGGTGTGACCACCCACGTGTACAGGACACAACAGGCTGTCCCTCCCCAGGCCAGAGCCAGATCTTACCCAACAATAGGAACACTGGGAAGCTCTGTGCCTACCTGGATTCATCCCTGAGCCTGGTCAAACAACTCAGCACATGACGAAGGAGAGGGGTTTTCCAAAGTGGTCCCCATTCTCCTTGGCGTGATGAAATGCTGGAATGGCAGCAGGAGCTGAGTCGGGAATGAAGCTGTCCTTTGGGAGACCAGGTGGCACTTAGGACAAGCCCACTGCTCTCAAAGCCCGGCTGAGTGTGTCACCAGGCTGATTAAGAGGTGGGGGGTGCCCCATCTCAAGCACCTCTCTGGGCCTCACGGCACGCGGCATCCCGTGCAGATCCTGCGGGAGCACGTCATGGTGCGGGTCGGGGGCGGCTGGGACACGCTGGAGCACTACCTGGACAAGCACGACCCGTGTCGCTGCACCTCCCTCTGTGAGTCCCCGCGTCCCCAAACCCCGTGGCAGGGTGAGGGCGGGGGGCGGGTCTGTCTGTCGTGGGTCTCGATGCATCTGTGGCCGTTTTCAGGAGCAGGAGGCTCCTGAAAGCAGGAGGCTTTTGTACAGCCATGCCTTGTTGTTTTGCCGGGGAATGTCTGGTTTCGGGGACTCTCTTTGGCTTTGGTGGCCACTAGAGGTCATGGAAGACTTTCAGATGCAACCAGACCCCAAAAACCCCTTCACAGGGAGTACAGCTTTCTGCCAGCATCCTCGGGGAGCTGGAATGCTGAGCGATGGCTGGGGGGCTGCACCCGAGGGTGAGTGCAGGGGACAGGGATGCTGAGCCCCTCTCCGTTTTCTCCTACAGCTCACAAACAAGCCAGGAGCCCTCAGCAGCAGGCGCAGCACGAGGTCTGGCTGTGCCCGGCCTCGAAGGTGGCTTCTCGTGGCCCCCAGCCCACGCTGCTGGTCAGCCGCTCCCAGAGCCCCCTGCCCCCCGTCACCTGGGGGTCCCGTGTCCCTCCTCGCCCCCAGTCCCCTGCCACCCCCTCACCACAGAGCTCGGGTCGCCCACCGGGTGCCAGCCCTCACCGGGAGCCAGCGCAGCCCCGGAGGGTCCCTTCGGGCAGGTAAGCGGTGCAGAGATGGTTCGTGCCCCAAACTGCCTGGTTTCACAGCTGTTTTCCCTCACATCTTGAATTCTACCCCCCCCCCCCTTCTGAATGTGCCCACACCAGGCTGGGTGGGGGGATGCAGCAGCTCTCCAGCTCCTCTCTGCTCTCTCTCCTTGCAGGATGCGGGAGCCACCGGCTGCCTCTCCGGGGAGGCAGCTACCACCATCCAGGGCTCCTGCTCGACCCAGCTCCCCTGGCCACGGGGTGACGGGCCGGGCACCCACCCCTTCCCGGTTGACCTTGCCAAACGGCGTGGGGGTCCCTAAAGCACCACATGGGAGCACCCCAGGGAAAACCCCAGTGGCCCTGGCGCAGGGCAGGTCCACAGCACCCAGCCCAAGGGTGACACCAGCACCTCCGAGAAGCACCCAGCAAGGAGGAAAATCACCTGTGGTGGCTGCCAGGCCACAGGAAACAGCGGCACCCACCACAGTGACACCCCGTGCCCCCAGCCCCTTCAAGGGCTGTGTCCCCTCCTCACCCCGAGGTGCCCAGGGAGACCCACAGAGACAGAAAAGCCCACGGGAAGGGAGACGGGTAGCCCTGAGCCGGGGCCACTCCTCCTCACCCCGAAATTCCTCCAGCCAGCCCCCAAAACAGGACAGCAGCGTTAAAACCCCCATCAAAGCCCGCCCGGCCACCTCCCGGCCCCCCACCCCTCTGGCCCATTTTGCAGAGGGGTGCAAGGTCTGTGCTGCCGGGGGTGGTCCCCAGGGGACACGGCAGTGCCACCCGGCCCTGAAGCCAAGGGCTGGGGGTGCTGAGGGACCTGGGGTGCCAGGGGATGAACCGAGGGGAACCTGTGGCCCTGGTGATGGGAGCAAGGGTCCTCGGGGGTGTTGGGGGCACACACAGCCCCCCGGCTATGACAGGGTGGTGGAAGAGCTCTCCCGCAGGCAGCATCCCCTGTGCCCTGTGGGGCTGGGGAGGCAGGTCCCCAAAACACCCCCACGAGCTGCCCCACAGCCCACCACCCTCCCAGCCACGGGGGAAGCAGAGGGGACGGGAGTGGGGTCCCAGACCCCACAAGGAGTGAGCTCCCACAACGTCCCCAAGCCCCGGCGGTGCCTGAAGAAGCCTGAGCGCGTTCCCTCCATCTACAAGCTGAAACTGCGACCCAAGGTGCGTCCCCGGCGGGACCACAGGCCAGGCAAGCGCCCCTCGCGCATCCCCACCCCGCTGGGGCATCGCCCACCTGCCCGCCGGGGCCAGCATCGCCCCCCGGGGCCGCCCAGACCCCCCCCGCCCGGCAGCACACGCCCTCCGGCCAAGCCCTCCCCAGCCGACAGCAGCGCCTGGCTGACCGAGGATGATGAGGAGTCCTGGGTCTGACCCCTCCCCGAGTGCCGGTGGGGACGGACCCCTCACTCCAAAAACGGGAGCGATGCTGAAGCTGGAGCTGCAGTGCCCGAGGTTGGCATGGGCGGCGTGGTGGGGTTGCTCCCAGGCAGCCCGAGGGTCCTCCCGCCTCGCTCTTCTTCCCTGTGGTGTTTTTTTTTTTTTTTTTTTTTTTTTTTTTTTTTTTTTTTTTTTTTTTTTTTTTTTTTTTTTTTTTTTTTTTTTTTTTTTTTTTTTTTGTACCGGTAATTCTTTGGGATAAACAGGCGCTTTTTTGCTGGTTTGGGTGGAAAAATCCAGCCCCGGATTGAGAGGATGGGGTGCTTTCTGCAGGGAAGAAGGGTGCAGCCCCCACTAAAGCAGGGACACCAGGGGCATCCAAAGGTACCAAACATCTCGAACCTCAGACTT